ACATTGCTCCAATGTAGATTACAAAATATTGATGAGTATATAATGTAGATTTCATATTGATACAATGTAGATCGCAATGTTTCAATAAGAATAAAATGTAGATTGATATTGCTCCAATGTAAATTACAAAATATTGATGAGTATATAATGTAGATTTCATATTGATACAATGTAGATCGCAATGTTTCAATAAGAATAAAATGTAGATTGATATTGCTCCAATGTAAATTACAAAATATTGATGAGTATATAATGTAGATTTCATATTGATACAATGTAGATTGCAAAGTGTCGATAAGAATAAAATGTAGATTGATATTGCTACAGTGTAGATTACAAAATATTGACGAATATATAATGTAGATTTCATATTGATTCAATGTAGATTGCAAAGTGTCGATAAGAATAAAATGTAGATTGATATTGCTACAGTGTAGATTACAAAATATTGACGAATATATAATGTAGATTTCATATTGATTCAATGTAGATTGCAAAGTGTCGATAAGAATAAAATGTAGATTGATATTGCTACAGTGTAGATTACAAAATATTGACGAATATATAATGTAGATTTCATATTGATTCAATGTAGATTGCAAAGTGTCGATAAGAATAAAATGTAGATTGATATTGCTACAGTGTAGATTACAAAATATTGACGAATATATAATGTAGATTTCATATTGATTCAATGTAGATTGCAAAGTGTCGATAAGAATAAAATGTAGATTGATATTGCTACAGTGTAGATTACAAAATATTGACGAATATATAATGTAGATTTCATATTGATTCAATGTAGATTGCAAAGTGTCGATAAGAATAAAATGTAGATTGATATTGCTACAGTGTAGATTACAAAATATTGACGAATATATAATGTAGATTTCATATTGATTCAATGTAGATTGCAAAGTGTCGATAAGAATAAAATGTAGATTGATATTGCTACAGTGTAGATTACAAAATATTGACGAATATATAATGTAGATTTCATATTGATTCAATGTAGATTGCAAAGTGTCGATAAGAATAAAATGTAGATTGATATTGCTACAGTGTAGATTACAAAATATTGACGAATATATAATGTAGATTTCATATTGATTCAATGTAGATTGCAAAGTGTCGATAAGAATAAAATGTAGATTGATATTGCTACAGTGTAGATTACAAAATATTGACGAATATATAATGTAGATTTCATATTGATTCAATGTAGATTGCAAAGTGTCGATAAGAATAAAATGTAGATTGATATTGCTACAGTGTAGATTACANTAAAATATCAACGTGTATAAAATGTAGATTGATATTGCTCCAATGTAGATCACAAAATATCGATGAGTATATAATGTAAATTTTATATTGATTCAATGTAGATTGCAAAGTGTCTATCAGCAGAAAATGTAGATTGATATTGCTCCATTGTAATTATAAAATATTGTCGATTGCTCAATGTAGATTGATATAACTGCAATATAGATTATAAAATATCGATGAGTCTACAATGTAGATTGATATAATTGCAATATAGATTATAAAATATCGACGAATCTACAATATAGAATAATATTGCTGCAATGTAGATTATAAAATATCGACTAGTATAAAATGTAGATTGATATTGCTGCAATGTAGATCACAAAATATCGATGAGTATATAATGTAGATCGATATTGATACAATGTAGATTGCAAAGTGTCTATCAGAAGAAAATGTAGATTGATATTGCCACAATGTAGATTACAAAATATCGACGAGTCTATAACGTATCCTGGCATTGATACAACGCAGATCGCTAAGTGTCGATAAGAGCAGAATCCATATCGATATAGTTGTAACGTAGATTACAAAACGCCGATGGTAACGTCGATAAATTGATACTGGTAGAACGCAGATTTTATCAATGCAGACTATCGGCGCGTCGCGCGATATTCAATTACGATTTCATCTCATACGGCGTCCTAATTGAACGTTACAGAAAATCATTCTCGTCAATCCGCGTTCTCCCGAGGTTCCCCCGTCCCTCATCGACTCCGCCGTGCAACAATCTTGCAACTGCGTCCACCTGTGATCGCAATCGAACACCATCGAACACTGCCAGGACCACGGATTCCGATTTCTTCGTTCGTTATCGATCCATTGTACGAAAACCATTGATCCGTCTCCGCGACATTCGACTCGGACAAAGCCTCGGCCC